ACTAATAAAGAGCAAATCCTCTAGTGCAGCATTCTGTCTCCTGTCACCTCATTGTACTCTCCGTGGAAATCATCTCTGTGCTAAACAGTGCTCATCTCCTCATGAGCCTCCATAGGATATTAATATTATTTGTCTGATTTTAATTTTATATATCTTATGTTGAAATACTTATTTTACCAGAATTCAAATCAGTTTTAATTTTTACCAGCTGTACCTACCTGTTTTACAAAAAATAATTTCTGCAGTAATGAAGCATGCTGTTAACTACATATTTTACAATGCCTACAATGCTTTACAATATTTTAAAATAACTAAAAGAATACATTAATCTTCTTTTTTTGTAGAACAAAGAGATGAACACTAGCAATACAACTTCTACATCATGTAGTTTAATATCCCAGCTCTTCAGTGAGGGTTGTATGATTGTATGCTCAATTAAGCTAATTCTTAATTGTTATAAAATTGTGGAAAGCATAGACTTAGCAAAGCTTAGCAAAGTCTTTCTCACCTGTTTCTATATTTTGTAGAGTACATTTAATAATACAGTTTAATCGTTTGTTTGTCTCTAACATACAAAGAATATTTTCTTTGCAAATTTAATTTGATATTGTTTTTCATATGAAATACAGTGACGTGTTAATTAAATTTGTTTAAACCAGATTGTTATATTTATGGTAAATTAATGTCAGTCATTCATTTCATTTATGGTGCATCTCTTTATTACTTACAAATAATAGATTCAAACAATTCTCTTTTGAATGAATTACTTCTTAAGTATTCATGGAGTAAAATTCACTTTAATATTTTTTAGCCATGTTGATCTGTAAATAGCTGAGTGTGTACAGTATATATTCTTTCATTCAGAAGGTGAGGCACTTTACTCATTGTGATAGCATTCACTTCTAATGTCTTACACCATGCCACCAATGAAATTAAGATGTTCTGAGAAGGTAAAAAACATTTTAGTGTATTTTACATGAAGAAAACTCCACATCACTGACCTTCGCCAAGGTTTTCTGTCCAATCCATCCAGCTCACTGTGTCACTCTTTGTCTAGAAGCCAGTGAGACATGGTTTGTCATTTCCAGCCTCACCGTCAACAGAGTTTATCATACAGTACATGTGTGCTGTGTGGCCACATGCTTCCTTCCAGTGATAACTCCACCAGGTACGTGATAGGTCTGAGGAGAGGACATGCCAGGGCAGCACTGGACAGCGGTTCTTCCTGTGTGGTTTGCAGGGACTTCAATTCTAAAACCAGAGGGGTGAAGAGTGGCTTCCTCTCTACCCCTCTACAGACTGCTACAGTGGGAATGGATTCTCAGCAGGTACTGTACATCATCACCCTGCAGCTCATAACTTGCAACCCACTGAAGCCGACTGTGTGAGCCTGGTCAGCACCTGGGTGGAAGACTTCCTGGGAAAGCTAAGGCTGCTGCTGGAAGAGGTGCTAGAGGGGTGAACATTTACCCTGTGGTCTCTGTGGGTCCTAATTCCCAAATATAGTGACAGGTACCCTATACTGTAAAAAGGCGCTGTTCTACGGATGAGACGTAAAACCAAGGTCCTGACTCTCC